CGTCAAGAAATAGGTTATTCTCGCGAATTTTGTTAATGGGTGATTAATAAGTAAAAGATTTTTGCAGTAACAGCGATTATGAAAGAAATGATCGGAGATCATTTTCACTGGCTCGGTGGGGAGGATGTTAAGAAGGGGATGCCACCCTGAGGCGTTAAGAAACAGCTAAATCTTGGGAACTTTGAATAAATGATTAATAAATAAAAGATTCAGTACATCTAAGAGACTGCAAATGTGGCTTTCGGCTCCGTTTCTCGGCGATTTTTAAAAGTAAAAATCGTACAAAACGGCGACGATTGTTCGTTGTTTTGGCATCGAATTGATCGCTGGCCGTCACAGTAAGAATTAAACAAAAATTATTGCTGCACAAGCTAGAATCTATTATCTAGAATATAGCATAAGGATTTTCAAGAGTTTTAATAATCGCAGAATGAACCGCAGTTCGAAGACAATTTCGACCGCAGTTCGCGGTTCTTCGGCGTCTTCGCCATTTTCGACGGTTTCGAGCGCCTTTCGTGCATTCCCGTCGATGCACGCAACTCGTTCCCATGCGACTGCATCGAGTCAAAGGGACAAAGGATCCTAGTCCACGCGAGATTCGTACGCAGGTTCGAGGAACGCCGGGAAAACCGGCGCGGCGACCGCTGTTTTGTCCTGCGACGTCGCCGGGCCAGACGCACCGATTTCTTTTGTAACAGGGGTGGTTACCCGCCGGAAGGCAAATAGGCGCCCCCGACCGGACCCCCCGGCGCTCTTCGAGTTTTCGGTTTCGATTTAAAATCCGTCCTCCGGCCCGCGACGGGCCGTAAATATTTGCCGACGTCGAAAGCGTTTCGGCCGAGACGCTTCCGCGTTGACGTTTGCCATTGCCTCCCTCCGTTCAATATTTGGCTTTTCGCGGCTACCGCGCGCCTTATGCGTCGATTAAGCCCACAACCGTGAAATCCCGTTGGATTAATAACGGCAAGGGCCCGCGAGCCCTTGTATCGGTGTGCGCTGAACAAACCGCCGTGGGAGCAGTTTTATTTCGCGGGTAAATTAAGCAACCGAACTGGGTCGGCCACGCGTCGGTGCACTTTTGCACGCTGCAATTATCCGCAGGATTTGAACACTTTCCATTTTCCAACGAATTGTCGATGTTCAATCTAGTGTAATTTCCGGGAAAGCGAGAGCGAGCCGCGGATCAATTTTCTACGGAATTTAGCCGAATGGATTTGAATTAATTTCTGGGTGAAAAACACGCGCCTCTTGCTGCGGCTACGCTCTCGAATAAAATTATTTGCAGGGTTCGAATAGTTCTCGATCTAAAAAAGAAAAATTGTCAATTTTCTGTGGAACCAAATAGAATGAACGTCGATATATTTCATCCTGAACCCGCGACCGCACTTTCGAACAATAAGCATTCGAACGTCGCGATTTCCGAAGCACCGACAACGGCGAAACCGCGACGGTTACGTTTGTAATCGAAGCGAGCCGAGCGACGAGCGATTTCAGAAAATCGTCGAATTTCGATAGAGTTTAGAATTTCGATAAAAACGGGCAAGAAAATTGAAGACACGTCGCGCACAGAGCTTGAGGGGTAAAATCCCGAATTTCGGGCTGGATTTCCATTCGTTCGAGCTTGGCTTCCACGGAGAATGGGTTCAAAACCCTGTCAAGCACACACGCACTCGAGCGGTGACGGTTGAACTTGCCCTAATTGCCGAGAGAGAAAATTGACGACAGTTCATGGTTGAATTGAATGCAGCACCACGCCGAGAGGCCGCGAAACTATTCTGTTTATATTTAACGCGGTCGGCCTTTACGTTCCGCGCATTGTTAAGGGTGACTCTTGTTGTCAAACGTGTCGCGGCACGATCGCGATTCCACGTCGCATTTAACCCTCGGACGACGAACCGTTTCACGTTTGTACAAGCAACGACAAGTTTACGACGATCCTAAACTTTATTCAGCAATTTTTTCCCAACACATTTTCGAAGATATTTCCAGCGTTCGTGGAAATTCTTGTTTTCGCACGTTATTTCACAAAAATCCGAATCAAAGAAATGCTTATTATCATGAAGAAAAGAAGAACAAAATGCTATTCGATCTCGCTGATCTATAAATAATCATTTCACTGAATCTTGTCGATCGAAGAAAGTCATTACGAATTGTCGAAAATCGAGCAAATCGAGCGAACGATTCGAACACCCCGAGTCAAAATTGGCACAGCCGTCGTCTCGCGAGACGGTCGAGACGATTTCTTTAAAACGTTAAGCACTAGACACCGAGGCTATTAAACCACGAGTTCCGCTCGGCAACTTTGTGCTTGCTGCAACATAGAGAGTGCAGCTATTTCGACGAACGCTGGAAAAGTTACAGTCAATTTGCCGCAGCCCGTGGAATCGATCGGAAATCGAGGAAAGGGAATGATTTCTAGGGAAGCGATCTCATAAGCTCGGCTCTGGGAACTGTAATCGGCCGCGTGAATAAATGATCAACGACTGTAGAGGTAGGGTCGCTTGCCGTGCGACCCGCCGAGCGACGACGTTTGCAAGAAACACGGCACTTTTTTACGCGACTCGATGAAATTCACGAGCGAACGGTTTCTCGAACGGATTTTCGGGTAGACGTTCGCGTCGCGTTTCCGGCGACGCTTGTAATTGAACCGTGAACACTGTAACGACTCGAACAGAGAAAAGAAAAGATCAACGACCTCCGGAGCTCGCTGTGGAACGAAATTAACGGACGATGACACTCCGAAGGAGGAAGCGAAGGACAACTTTTGCACGCGTAAAATTGCACCGCGAAACACGCGTTCGGGAAGAAGTTGCGATCGCAACTGCGCTACAAGGACTGCGATAGCCTGAACAGACGAAAGATCAGAACGATACGATACATCGCGATGCAACAGAATTAAGTGACAACGACACTTTGAGAGTAGAAAGAAGCGACGACACTGATTAGAAAAGAATGCTTTTAAAACCGATGAAACAGCGATCGCGGTTGAAACGAAGGACCGCGACTGCCCGCGGTCGGCGACAGGAGGAACGGCGAATAAAATCGTCGGAGTAACGGATCGAGGTTGTGCCGGAGGATCGAGGGATCCACGAGTCGATCCGCCGGCGTTCGGAGTAATCGCAGAGAGAAAAGGAGGACTTACCAGCGAGGCGAGCGTCGAGAGGAAGTGGTCCCCGGTGTGCGGAGTCGGTTTGCCAGGATGCAGATGAGAAATCCTCGAAAAGCAACAAAAGGGCACTGGATAAACGAGCAGCCGCGGAACACAAAAGGGCTCGGTCACAATGTGAGCACGTAACGACACCCGGCGGCGCTCGGAAAACCCGCAGAATCGCGCCGCTCTCCCCGAGCTTGACAGCCGGAGCAAAACAAGAGAGAGAGAGAGAGAGAGAGAGAGAGAGAGAGAGAGAAACAGAGAAAGAGAGAGAGAGAGAACGAGAGAAGTCGAGATAGCGTCGAGTCGCGTCGCGTCGGAGCCGCGCGTAGCAGACAGGTGCGAGAATAACTCGAAATCAAGATTCAACTGCCTTATCCTTGGGTGTCCGATAGGCGTCGATCGCGCGCACAAATCACGAACAGCGTCGGCGAGAGTGAGCGAGCGACAGGGAGAGAGAGAGAGAGAGAGAGAGAGAGAGAGGGAGAGAGAGTGAGAGAAAGAGAGAGAGAGAGTGAGACAGGTGCGAAAGGGATAGAGAAAACTAGGCGAGCGGCGGCCAAAGAAAGCTGTTTGGCTTGGCACGCGGTCCACGAGCGGATAGAGAGCTTCGAAGCTTTGAAAAGCAGGCGGCACCGATCAAAACGGAGCAGTTTCCCGTGCGAGGCTCTGCCGGGTACTGGGGGTTCGAGCCGGGCTATCGAACGCACCTACGCGCGCTGACCAATCGGCGCCGACGCCGCGCGTCGCTCGGCCAATCGACGCCCGAGACGCCGGCATCGCTGTACACAAGCCGGGACTCTTGCCGCCGTAATCAAAATCCCTTCGCTGACACTCCGATTTTTATTATGCGCGCCTATTTAGCCGGGCCCGCTCCGTTTCATTAGGGCACCACGCGACCCGCGCGCACAATGCCTCCGAGATAAACATTGCAAATTCCGACCGCGGCCTCTCTCTCTCTCTCTCTCTCTCTCTCTCTCTCTCTCTCTCTCCAACCTTAACCCCTTCATCCGCCGAGCGCGCGTACGTCTTACTCGTGCCTCTTCGAACGATATACATACACACAGTTCCAACTTGCTGTATCATTGATATCTTAACATTATTAATATTTTATATAGTAGATTTTGCAATAGTTCGCAGAAATCTGACAGTGGGAAAGCTCGAGAATGAGAATACGAATTAATGAACGAGCGCGGAACATGCGCGAGCGTAATGTGTGCGCGGGTTTCTGGCGCATTTAGGAATACAGTTTTATGGGGGCTGCGGTGCAGCTTCGTTTTTAATGGAAACCGTTTGGCAGATTTTATGACAGTTTACTCGGATTACTCGATGCTTTTATTGGAGGCACAATAGAGCTTCGTAGCAGCGCCGCGATGACGAGGGAACGTAATTGAAATCGTCCTCGAAGTTCAGCGACGAGAGTCTTCCATTACGAAGCATCGCGGGAGACGCTTTCTTAGTTTTTCCCCGGGGGAGCCGCGCGCTGTCTCGCGGTTTTATTCGCTGCATAATAGAGCGCAGGTATCATGGTCCGCGCGATCATGTTTTTATTCTAATCCGACTCTTTAACATTTTTTCGTAAGCACGTTCGTTCGTTTCGTTGTTATAGTATTATCATTATCGTTGATATTATTGAAATATTGTTCTTGTGTCGAATTTTTGTAGAGAAATATCGAAAGTGCATCGAACAGTCAAGAGGAAAGAAAGCCATGTGGAAATCGTGGAAACAATGTTCGAGAATTATCCACCGCGGTGCATCGCGGTGCATCGCGGTGCATGGTACGACGCACCAGTTCGCAATTTTTCTTCGACGTGTCTTAAAGTATCCTATGCATTTGCTGATTGCATAACAGAGTGCGAAGGTAACGAAACGCGGCGGTGCATAGTTTTGTTTTGAATCGCGATGCGCCGCGGTGCATCGTAAAATGCATCGTTCCACGTTTCGACTTATTGCATAACGGGCTGCAGGCGTCGCGGTAAACGATGACGTACTTGTTTTGATCCCGCAGAGTTAGTCTTGCATGCTATTTTCGTTCGAGCCGCGCATTTTTATTCCATCTGCAGCGTTTCTTGCATTGCCGCGCCGCATGATAAAGCGCCGCCGGTGCCTTGTTCATTGCATAATATAGAGCGGGACGATCGGGAAACGCGATAACATTCGTGCATCGATGCGACGAACGAAGGGCTTTTAACGTTGAACCTATCGCGGTCGAATGACCGGTTACACGTTTCGCGATTAGAAAAATTATGATGACAATTTCGCGAGAAATAATCGTGCGAAGCCCTTTGATGCGGCAACTGCGGTAACAAAAACTGAATCGAAATAAATTGGATCGTCTTGCTTTCATGGGGTAACGTGTATCATGGAATTTTACTGTTTTTTAGGTTCAGCGTTAACACGCGGAACTACCAAACCAATCAAACTAACTGGTTTCCGAGTTTTGCTTTTACAATTCCTCTGATGCTATGAAAATGTTTTCGTTAGAAACGTTTACAGGAACTTCCTCATTGAAGCGCTTGTTGCAAAAAACAAATTGTAGGAATGAATCCAATCATGTTATTGCTACAAAAAAAATGCATTATTCACGTTTAAGACTCGGTAGTTGCAGACGACTGTCGAAGTCTCCGATTTCCAGGCAAGACGTTTGCGCTGATTCGGCGACGATGTCGACGAGAAGCGGCTAATTAAAAAGGGATAATTGTGAACGGCCTCCGAGGCCGGTGCATTTATAAATTGTTTCTAGCCTTCCACGGCTGGATGGCCGGGTGATTTATGAGTTTTGGCGATCGGACGGCCAGTCCGCGGGGTAGGAAACGCGAAATACAATGGCGGGCTCGCGGAACGAGCCCTGCAACGATATAATGCCTTGGGCAATAACCGGAATAGGATTGCCCTAACGCATATTAACGCTTCTAATTTATGCGAGTCCATCGGCCGTGCGAGATCGCTCAAACCCGGCTCACCATTCAACCGTGGCATCGCGGTTGGTCACTTTGCCCGCGTGCCGGCTGCGCTGCCGCGCCGTGTCGCTCTGATACCGCGTTGATCAACAGCTACAAAGGGACAGGGGAACACTTAGGAGCCCGGGGAACCGTAATCCAGGATCGCTGGAATTCGAATATTTCCCATTAATAACGTCGATTATCTCAATTAGAAAGTTTCCGGCCGCCATCGATCCGACGCGGCGCGTCACGCGCGACCTATTCGCGAACAGCTGATTTTTCAGGGAGGAAAAAGCAACAAAGCGTACAAAGCAACGCTTGGATGTTGAATTAGGAGCTGTGACAAGTGTCGCAGAATTTTTTCAGAGTTTTCTAAAAGCCTGGACGATGAGGAATCGGGCTGAGAAACGAGACTGCGGATTTGCAGATTATGGTCGCGAAAAAAGGCAAGGTAAAGGTACCTGTCGTTTTTTGAAATAATAAGGACGTTGTTTTTAGTAACTTGACGATACTAAATTTAGTTTTAAAATGATACTAACTGTAAGGTTATTTTTTCAGGCCTTTTTAAAAGCCTGGATGGTGAGGGATCAGGCTGAGAAACGAGGCTGCGGGTTTGCAGATTATGTTCGCGAAAAGAGGCAAGGTAAAGGTACCTATTGTTTTTTAAAATAATAGTGACGTTACTAAATTTAGTTTTAAAATGATACTAAACATATAGCAAAAGTAGCTATTATTTTTCAAAGTACCTATTGTTCTTAAGGAAATTATAAGATCATCGTCGATTTTATCACTTAACTGAAAAAGTGTTATCGTTGAATATTTATAAACGATTCGATAAACGACGAAATGAACTTTGAAATATCGATTCGATACGAATAAAGACTAAGCTATAAATAAAATCAGAAATGAACAATTTTTGTTTACGGTTGATTCCGGCATTACAGTATTCGCGTGAGCGAATATCTTGTAAAGAAGAATGTCGAAAGCTACGACTAGAATGTTTTTTACATCCGCTTTCATATGCTCCGTCCAGTTTTTATCGTATTGTTCGCGCCACTGTTGCATCGTAGATACTTCTACTCGTATTACAGACGGCGAAATCATTTTCAGACGCATCGCCGCAGGACGCGAGGGAACGAATGTGCAGCGCTATCGCAACGCTGCAATGACCGCGGATATTGCTGGAGAAAAATCTGTGCTCGCTAATACGAGAATTTCGCGCGGCGACGAAGACTCGCCCGCTAATTTCTTTCCGTTTTCCGACTGGACGCATTCGCGTTCCGATTTCCACGGACACCTGGCCAGCACGGCAAATTGCAAGTCGCGTTCGGAGTCCTGCACGGTTCACAGGAGGGAACGGAAAAATTTCGAGCGATAATTCGAGCGTTGTTTTTGGGCAAGCCGTCCCGACGAGACGCGACGCGACGGTTTAATGTTACGTACAGGGTGTAACAAAAATAAATGTCGCGATCACGCCGGGTCGATTCTACACGCTCGATTTAGCCGGAAACAATGTAAGCAAGGCGCCGCGAGATTGACCTCGACCTCGATAAAAAGTCAAGCGGGTCGAAAGGTTGCAAATTTTGCGAATTAAATTAAAAATCAAATCTCTTACCAACAATCTGTTAACTGGTCCTTGACAAATTCGGTCTTCGAGACGACCGGGCAAAGCGATAAAATGAAATTTGCAACGATTTGACCTTTCGACTTTTTTCGCAGTCCAGGTCAATTTAGCGTCGCCTTGCTTACGTCGTTTTCCGGTAGATCGAAGGTGCGGTATTTTTGGGTGTATTTTTGTTACACCCTGTACAATGCTATTGGTCCCTAGACAGATATCGTCCGTTCTCGTTATTCCGTTGATGAAAATATTCCACTCTGAATAACGATGGGACAAAAATGATCCGGGCTCCTCGGTCCGGTTCGCTAACCGCGCTGATTTCGAATGCCGAACCGAAAATTAATGAAAACCATTCGCTGTGACTGCGTTTTTCCCGGCAACGGGACACGGACGTTCGCATGCATTACCGACCGGCGTTCATTGTTTGTCTTATCGTTCGCATTCGACGCCATCGAGTCGACGATACGCCGTATTCGGCTTCGATACCTGAACCAGCGCGGCTGATTAATAAGGCACCGCATCAAAGGAATATTCATTCGGCGACGAGACTCACCGATTAGCGTGTTCGGGTCTCGAGAGATTCGATCACCGGACTAACATTACTGCAACGTATCGCCGTAATCTTCGCTCGATCCAAATTGCATCGCCGCGATCACTAATCAGCACCTTCATTAACACAGGAATTATTTTATTTTTTCATTCGTACAGATAGAACTGATTAGATAATGCTATTATGTATTATTATATAATACTTATATATACAAATAACTTGTATAAATACATTATAATATTATATTGTATTACATAATACTATAATAGTATTAGATATTGTACTATCATTTGTACATATATTATTGTTACCAGAGGTATATGGTACCATCTCTGACACTAATTAGCATCTTGATGGACACATAGATAATTTTCTGTTTCAGTTGGTATCGATTAAGTGTCCAAAATCGTATCGATCACTGTCGAACACTGAATTTATAATGCGATCTTGAATTATATACAAAATAGTAGGTTTTATAATTATGTGATAATTCAAATTTGTATTGAAAATGTATTATAACTAAATTTAATTCAAGTTCATATTAAAAACTTATTACGATTATTTTGAATCTATTGCATCGAGCATGCATCTGGATGCAATTATGTGCTCCATTACTGCTGAGAAAAGTTTGACCCCAAATGCAAACATTTCTTAAAAAGATGCAGCAAACTCTACGCAAAAATTAAAATTCGTCCTCCATCGAAGAAGAATTGAAGTAGCGATTATAAAACAACAGGTCATCGAAACTGCATCGAGATGCAATTTCTGCGATTATCCCGACCTTACCGAGAACACCGATGCATTTAGCTGGCGTTAGATGCGAAGTTTCGGTTGCATCGAACAGGCATAAACTAACAGCAAAATCGTAAATTGCTGGCACCTGATCAAAAATAAATGCAATGACGATCGGAGGGTGCAGAAAACCGTGGCTTTTCGGCAAAGACAAATCGGAGAAGCCTGTGAATTCGCGCAGCGGCGGTGCGACGGTGGGAAAATAATTGATCGCCGTGACGGAAGTGTTTCGCAATCGTGTCAACGAGGCCGTTTCGATCGGCGATGACAAAGGGCGAGCTGGATGCACCGAGGTCGAAACACGCCGAAGGGCTCGCCGGAATAACGTGGACTGTGCCCTCCCCGGAGAAGCAATTAATTCTCATGGAGCGTTTGATCTACGGCGCGGCCGGAACGGCCAGGGTAAAGTGTAATCTTTCCCCGGCGAAGATATTGTGCTCTAATTAGACAAAAGAATTTCATTTCTCGATCTCATTTCCATGGAGTAGCGCGAACCCGCCCTCCGCCCGTCCTCCGTCCCCCGCGAACCAGTTTCGAATAATCGTTGATAGAACTTTTCACACTTCGCCGAATTACCATTCTTTGCCGCGCCGGCCCGCGGCACTTTACCTCCGCTAGACGCTGCCGTTTCTCTTGGCAAACGACCATAAACGTATCTCTATAATCATGATAATCGCCAGAATAGCAACCGTGCCCTGCTACATCCATTACGGGCCGGGGAATTTATGTCCCGAATACGATATGAACGCTGGGAGGGAAAAAAGAGAGGACGACGCGTTTCCCCGACGCTGCAGCCACGTCGGAACGACGGCTCCGAATTTCTTTCCGACGATGTCACGAGTGCGAAGACGCGTTTTTGAGGAACCGTCGCGACTCGATCGTGGATAACACGGTTTGAACGAACGATTCCGCGAGGGAGGCTGTTTTCGACGGGTTTTGCAGCGAAGAAATTGCAACAAGTTGCGCGACGTACTGGAGAAACGCTGTAAACGGAACATCGCCGTTATCACAGAAATTGCGAATCTTTCTGCGATCAAATTATGCTTGTTCTGCAACGATGTTACGCGTATCTAATCGCACCTGATTCGAAGCCACTGGTGATAAGCAACTGTGTCGGACAATTCGTTTCTTTCATGCTCGAAAGTTATACTTTCCCTTTTTTCTATTTCTAGTAACGTTAGTCGAAGTGTCGTTACTCTCGAGATAGTTTTTATTTATTTATTGGACTCGTTGGTCTTTTTTTATCGTAGTAATGAAGCAAATATAGCTCTAACGTTGCAAACAATTTTATGAATGCGATATTCTTATTCTGTAATTTTTCTCAATTTCTGCTATAGCTTCCTTTCGTTTAAAGAATTATTTCTCGCCGTGATTGTTGTATAATATCGGTATACTAATCACTGTATTAATACAAGATTATTATTATACGTACTTAATGCAATTGACGAACGCGACGAACTGCACTTTTTTTGAAAGAATTAGAAAGAATGTCGGTGATCTTAGGAGAAACTCGTTGACGCTGTGCATTCTTATAGTAAACCATATTAAACTAATCATCGGAATGCGCGAAACTAGAATCGGATAATCTAGTTTTCCCTGTTCCTTTCTTCGAAATAAAAGCGTCGTGTCAGCGCTTCCCCCATGCATTTTTGAACAAGGCGCCCGTCGTGCCGGGGAGCTCCATTAATTTCCGTAGAAAAAATAGCTGGAACTCGGGCTTTTTTCCATCAGATTGTTAACACCGTTAACATCGGCGGCCCTTCGAGATGGCCTGCAGCTCCCTTTAATTTATAGCGATCGATCCGTCGCAGTAATCAGCCGGCGAAGTAATTAACAAGCACCTCTTTCGCCCTACTTAGGCTCATTCAATCTCCGACTGCCGCGCAAAGGTGGCTGCTTATTCGATTCTTCCATTACTGCGAGCGATTCGTCTTCGTTATTATCCGTCTTATCGTGCATTCCGATGGGAGCTGCGGCGACCAGCTGCAGCCGTGACGCTCGAAGTTTGCTCGGGTTTTTCGGTCGCGTGATTATGCCGGCGTTCTATCCCGGTGTTCTATCCGGCGCTGCACGCTCGCCAATCTGTATTTTATTCACGGCTTCCAGGGCAAAGTTGATTGGTTCTCCATGGGAGTTTAGCGAACTGTCTCCGCCGGCCCAAGACCGCCGTATCCACCGTCGAATCGTCCTGTCCACCAATTAATGGTTCGAGAGTTTACGGTTCTGCGGATCGCCATTCAATCCCACTCCGAATCGACGGCACTCAAAAACACTACACCGGATCATTATAAACTGTAATAGTTATCGGCGAACACGGCATGCTGTCCGAACGAATTCTTCTTCTCGTAATAATGGCGGAAACGTCGATAGCCGACTGTTATTCGCATGCGATGCCTGTCGATGCGTTACATCAATTTCTATACTGTGATGCGTCTCCCGTCGATGGTCAGCTTGAGAATCATTTAGGTAGATGGCCAGGTCGAGATTAAACCGGGTTAATGAATAATCGAGGTTGGAAGTGATCAAGGTTGAATGTGATCAAAGTTGAAAGTGATCAAGGTTGACAATAATCCAGATCGAAAGTAATCAAGGTTGAAAATAATCCAGGTTGAAAATCAAGTTAAAGTTGAAAATAATCCAGGTTGAAAATCAAGTCAAAGTTGACAATAATCCAGATCGAAAGTAATCAAGGTTGAAAATAATCCAGGTTGAAAATCAAGTTAAAGTTGAAAATAATCCAGGTTGAAAATCAAGTCAAAGTTGAAAATAATCCAGGTTGAAAATCAAGTCAAAGTTGAAA